GGCTGCGAACCTTAAGGTCAGCGGTTCGAAACTACCAGCTGCTCCGCAGGAGAAAGATGAGGCTTTCTACTCCCGTAAAGATTTACACCCTCGGAAACCTGTACAGGGTCGCTATGGGTCGGAACCGACTCAATGGCACATAACAACAACATGCCATGAGGGAATCATAAATTTTATGAGCATAAAGAACACTATTTGGAATCCCTGAGTGGTGCAAATAAATAATTAACACACAGCTGCTAACCAAAAGCTTGAAAGTTCATCTCAAAAGAAAAGCCTGGTCATCTGCTTCCAAAAGAATCTGTTGAAAACTGAATGGAACACAGTGCTACTCAGACACACATGGGGTTTCCATGAGTGGAATCAACTCAATGCAGCTAGTTAGGACACAATTTATAAGTCAAAATAAAATTTACAGTTGTCTTTGTTATAATTTAAATTTACAAATTAAAATATACAGTTGCCTTTCTTATATATTTTTCTGGCCCTAGATTCTTAGGGAATGCTTTCATTGTTTTTTGTTAAAACTCTTAAATCAGTCATCAACCTGCTATTGAAAATAAGAGATTTGCTTTATTGTGATTGAATCCCCTTCAGTAATGTCTTTATACACATAATAGACTCTCTCTATATAAAAATGAAATAGTGTTAGTCATAATCACAAGCTAACATTTGCTTTGTTTTCTACAAGCCTCATAAGGATGACATTTATGAAGACTTCATAGTATACAAATCACTTTAGAATATTCACTTATGTGAGTCTCCTAAATAGAGTGAGGAATTCGCATCCCCATTTTCCAGATGGGAAAAACTGAGGTTCGGGAATAAAAAAAACTGACTCCCTGAGGGTGCCAACGCTGTTAAGGCTTTGCCAAGACTAAAATCCAAGTTCTGATCCCACGTGCAGTACTTTTCACATCTCCTGAAACCATACATTTGGAAGAGAAATTTCGAATGAACATAGAGACAGCCCTCTCTTCTAGGATCCACATGAAAATTTTTCAAGGAATTCTTTTTAACAGAGTTAGTAGGTGACTGGTAGACAGCATCCTCAGTATTTGGGCTCCTGGTACTACGTAGTCATTCCTACAGTGAACAAAACTGTATCCTCACTGTGGGGCTGACTTGTGAGACAAGCTGAACAATGGTCTCCCGGGGACACAGGCTGGCCAACATTGCTCTGCTTGCTTTATTTCCTCCAAAAGTCAGTAACGAATAGGTTCCCCCATAGAAACTACAGAGGCTGAGGAATCTTTTTGAAGAGAAAGGACAAAGATCTAAATAAAAACTTGAAAGCGTTCCTTTGGCAGAATGGCGGTCAGGGCTGGGAGAAAGCCAGAGAGCAGCCTCCAGGCTTGCTTCTCTAGTTTTCCAACCACAAAGTTGATTCTCTTATCTCTGTAGTGAGGTCACACTCTGTGGTTTGTATTGTCATTCCATGTTATGAGTGCAAACTCCATTTAGAGGTTATGGAAATGTTTTTATTAGTATATTTTTTGGTGTGAGTAAAGAGTTTTCCTTTTTATTACAAAGAAAGAAAAGGGACTAAAGATAAACAAAAATTTGAAACCAAACACCATCTGTGTTGTTACATCTGTTGTTAACAAATGTAAATCTGTAAGATACCAATAAACAGAACAACGCCTGTAGAGTGTGAGGGTCATACCACAGTATTACTAGGGTCCTCATCCAGTCTTAACAGCCTGTAAAACTAAAGACTGCCGGGAGGAAAGATGGTAGGGTTCTAGCCATTTTCTGTGGTGCCGGTAAAAACTGAATTTTATTCTTCTGAAAAGTGAGCTTCTGTCTTAAGTTATGGAGTCCTGGTATAGCATTGTGGGCTAATGCGTCAGACTTCAAAGTCGTTTGAACTGCAAGGTCGGTGGTTCAAGCTCACCAGCTGCTCCTCGTTATTGTTGTTGTTAAGTGTTGTCGGGTCGATTCCGACCCATAGCGACCCTGTATAGGGTTTCCAAGGAGCAGCTGCTGAGCTTGAACCAGCGACCTTGCAATTCAAACGACTTTGCAGTCTGATGCATTAGCCCAAAGCACCACACCAGGACTCCAGCTGCTCCTTGGAAACCCTATATATATAAACAGGTTCGCTATGGGTTGGAATCGACTCGATGGCACTTAACAACAACAACAATCTTAAGTTACGTTAGTGTTTTGATGAGTGTCTTAGGTCTTCAGTCTGAATTCCTAAGTATCTCTCAAACTCCAAATTAGCCACAATGTGTATTACATTTTCATTAAATAGTAATGAGTCTATTTGATATTTTCTCTGAGTCATTTTAAGGGCTGTACTAAAATGTTTGTTCTATTTGTCTTACCTCTGAATATTAAAAAAATAAATAACAACTGCCTTCTCAGTAACTTCATGGCCAGTACTCAGCCCATGATGATGTGGACGGCATTAACTTCAGAAATTTTGTTAGAAAATGACATTGTGTATCAGAAAATCTCGTGACCTGTGTTTTCCATATGATCCTAGGAGTCAGGGGTACTCAGAGACCAGGCCGGAGGAGGAGTTTAGCAATGGCCTTCTTCCTCTGCCTTATCAGTGACACTTGACATCTACCATGGTCTTCTTTAGTTGCCATCTGAAATTGCATTTGTCATACTGTCTTTGTTTCCTAACCCTGCTATAACACAAATATCACAAGTGAGCAACTTTAAATAACAGAAATTCATGTTCTCACAGTTCTCGAGACTAAAAATCCAAATCAGGGCCTCAGTTGTGTTGATTTCCTTCCTTGTCAGGAATCTTGGGTGTTCCTTGGTTCCTTGGCATGCCTCAGCTTGTAGCTGAGATGAGTATTTTCCCCCATCTGTGAGTTATGTCACAATGCGTGTTATAGTCCAGGGACAGAACAGCCCTATGGAAACTGCCTTGTTAACGGATCGATTCCATAGATTATATATTATGGAAAGCAAGCTGCTCCACTCAAGTCCAATCACATGTAATTCCTCCATAACTAGACTGTTGTTGTTGTTGTTGTTATGTGCCGTGGAGTCGGTTCCAATTCATAGCGACCCTGTACAGGGTTTCTGAGGCTGGAAATCTTTATAGGAACAGAACGACCCATTTTTCTCCCACAGAACAACTGGTAGATTCAAACTGCTGACCTGAAGGTTTGTAGCCTGATTCGTAACCACTATGCTACCAGAGCTCCTAGACCAGTGCTGACCAAACCTCTGGGAACCCTAACCAAGCCAATTCTCACACACAATTCACCACCATACCTACCTTTGCCTGGTAGAAATTAGTAAACACTCTCCATGTTTCTTAGAAGAGTATCTGTTTCATTCTTGATGTATATGCTGAGGAAACATGTAACCTAAGTAATAGTTTTTCTTACCTATTTTTTTTTTTTTCCTATTTAGGCAGCAATAAGGAAAGAACTAAATGAATTTAAAAGCACAGAGATGGAGGTGCATGAAGAGAGTCGACAGTTTACAAGGTATGTAGACATAATGTAATTTAGTGGAAAACCATCTCATGAATAGCTTCTGCCGCCCAACGCTTGTCCTTGTTTACTTTGCTGATAACCTCAGAGTCAGTGTGACAGTTTGAAAGATCGGACTGTTGTTGTTAAGTGCTGTCCAGCTGGTTTCCACTCACAGCGACCCTGTGTAGAGGTTTCCAAGGAGCAACTAGTGCCTTTGAACTGCTAACCTTGCAGTTTCGGTGCTTATCACATCAGGACTCCAAAAATAGGAAGAGATAAGAGGAGGCATTCATAATAAACTCAGCTATGTCTTTTATTTTTTTCAGGGGTAAGTACATTTCTAAAATTAAATATTTTCATTCTTTCAAAGAATTCTGAATACACTTTTGTTTCTTTTCTGTGGCTTCTTAGTTTCATTGTGTGGGCCAGAATTCAAACATCAACATCATTCATTCTGCTCTAGAACATATTGATGTTTTATGCTCAGAACAGGTGCTGGTGAGAGTCAGTGTGGGCACGTATGAGGCTACTTTGGGCTTATGAAAGACATGACTTACGATAGAAATTCAGTTTTCAGCAGACATAACTTAGATGAGAAATCCAATTTTTACTGGCACCACAGAAAATTGCTCTAATCCTATCATCTTTCCTCCCAGCAGCTGTCAGTTTCACGGGCTGTTAAAACCGGAAGGGAATCTTAGAAATCCTTTAGC